ACCTTAAGGAAAAACAATGTCAAGGCATTTGTCTTGGACCTTCGGGATAACAGGTGATAAGCTCTCACCCTGTCTTCATTTCACAGTCTTTAATTGTGATCTGAAAGTTGAGATCTTGTGCAGTGGTGGTCTCTTCCCTGAAGGAGTTGAGATAGCAAAAATTTGGTAAGCTGTGTTTGGATTTTCCAGTTTGAAGTGTCTGCTTAGTTTTCTTCTGATGATCCAATGTACTCGAGTGCTAGTTTCTCAATAAGTATTACTCATCTTTTCAAGGGTCGATGTAGGTGTTGACAATGAAATTTTTTTCCCTATTTTATTCTTTTTACATAAGAGTGCCACATAGGTCTATATACTGTTAAATACTAGAAGTTCTTTTAATACAATGTAGTCTAGTCAAAATAATATTTTCGATTCACAACAGAGAGATTATGAGATTACTTTGTTAGTGATACAATGAAGTTTCTTTCTTTGGTTCAGCATATTATTATTCTCTAGCTTTTTCGTTCTAATGTTTGCCCCTTTGACGCTACTGCTACTGCTATGCAAGAAGACTAAACTGTGCTATGCAATGGATTTCACTGCCAACCAGGTTGGATAAAGGTGTGATTGTATACATTTGTGATAGCCGTGGTGTTCGAGATATTTATGACACGGATGGGAGCAATGTGGTAGCTGCTTCAGAGCCCCTAGCTGTGCTGGTAAGTGTATTCATACTTAGTCATTTATGTTGACATGGATTAGCCTAACCTCAGCTAAGTGGTTTTTGTGATGAAGGTAGACAATTGAGTTGGTTTTGTTTTTTCCCCTTGTGCACTTAAATTCCACCGCATCTTCTTGTTTTGTGATGCTCGCGGCTGGACTGTAGTTCTCATTTATCAAATATTGGTGCTTAATGATGTATAATGATCCTATTCTTCCGGTGTATTTGAGTTTGACATGAATTTCGTATTTTGCACTGCAAATCTTTCCAGTCAGAGGCTCACTTTCTGTCACAGTTCAGCATTTTAAGTTTATCTTTGGCTTTGCCAAAAGTTGTTCTAGTTTCTCTTTCAATCACTCAAGTTCACACTTCACACACTGATTCCGCCAATCCCTGAACTCTCCCCGGGCCAAACTCACGTGCATATGCTTGTCAGGTAAACAAAGGGACTGCAAGTGCAAGTGAGATTTTAGCCGGTGCTTTGAAAGATAACAAGCGTGCACAGCTGTTTGGTGAACCAACATATGGCAAGGGGTAATAACTTTATTTACTTACATGCAAATACGCTTTAGCTGGCAAAAGAAGAATGCTATTCTTACTTGTTTCTTCTTCTGATACAGTAAAATCCAGTCTGTATTCCAGCTATCTGATGGCTCTGGCGTGGCTGTTACAGTTGCTCGGTATGAAACTCCTGCTCACAACGATATAGACAAGGTCCACACACTCTCTATCTCCTCACTCTCGTTCTGATATATACATGCCACAAACAAATATGGTTATTGATGTGTATCGTCTTTCTAGGTTGGTGTCACCCCGGACCATCCTTTGCCAGCATCATTTCCAAAAGACGACGAGAGCTTCTGTAACTGCCTTCAAAATCCTGCTGCTGCTTGCCACATAGATAGAGTCGAGTTGTTCTCAAAATGACTCAATCCTGCAATCTGAAGAAAATACCTTACTTTTTCAACATTTTGTTTGTAGATACCATTGATTCTTTAACCAGATACATGCATCTGATGTTTGTACATACAAAGAACCAAGAACAAAGGGACAACTCAATTCCTAATACTGTTGAACTCTTTGCTCTAAAAAGTGTCTATTTTACCCTTGAACTATTGGAAATGGAACAACTGTGCCGCCTTCTTAATATAAAGCTTCCTGTTGACTTCTCGCAGCGATTGAGTCGTCCAACAAAATGGTAAGACTTTTCCATGGGAAGGTAATCAAATTGAGATTAAGATGGAAATTCTTAACACTCTTTACTTTTTACCGGTCATGTTTTACTTTTTTCAAAAGTTAATTTGATTAATAGTCGAAATTTAATTGAACTAAATAAATATTATATCAACAACATATCCAGTCAAATTTTCTAAATGAGATTTAGAGAGGGTAAACTGTAAACAAACATTACCACTATCTTCATGAAACTGTTTTCGAAACATCCTTTGTGAAGATAGAGAATTTGTTCTCGAAAATTCATCGGCTCAAAGTGTATTAAATCGAAGTAGAAAAATAGAAAAAACATAGCAACTAACGAGGAGTGTAGTGTGCGAACCATCAGATAATTCGGATGTCCGGGTCGGGTCCATATTTTTGACCCGATTCCGGTTATATAAATAGGCTATTGCACCTTCCATTTTGAATTTTTCCACTTCACAATCCCAATTCTCCAATTGCATCAGCGAGAGAAGAAGAAGAAGAATCAACAATGAAGCCGATGGTAGTAGACTATTTAGCAGACATGGAAGAACAAGGATCAACAATGGCGATGGACGTTGATGACGTGGACACAATCGACATGTTCGGCGAAGGTCCACTCGGTGGTGGCGAACACCTCCGACTCGCCGACTCCGACTTCTTCAATCTCTTTCAGGATGATTTCGATGACTCAGATATCAACTAAATCTATCAACTAAAACTCTTCCTTTCCTAAAAAACAACTACATGTGTTGTTTCTTCTCCCTTCTAGGGTTTACTCTTGCCTATGGTACGTTGTACTTAATTTTCTGAAGGAATAAAGCAATTTTTTTGGATGCTCTAGAAATTTTATCATAGCTTGCTTATTCACATCGATTTTTTTTTTGTGTTATTTTGAAAGCTTTTCGGGCGTTGTGTTCTGAGTTTCTGTTTATGAAGCAATAGTTAGTTGTATGTTGAATTTATAGCTGATTGTGAGGTATAGGTAGTTTCTAAGAGCTGAATTTGCTCTTTTTGATTGATCATTTGTTAAGTTCTTAGATGTAAGAGCTGATTCGAGTCTCTCTGTTAGCAAATCTATCCAAAAAATATGGTTTTTCTATGGAAGACAATCATCTATACTAATTTGAAATCTAGTCAGTTCTAGCAAATGATAAAAAATCACTAGGGACTCTTAGTATATATCGTTGGAGCAATTAGGGAACTTGGAGTGTTAGATAAGTAGTTTAAGTCTAGAATAATGAAATAATATGGATTCAAACGAAGCGCTTATGGTGATGAGGATTCATACTGCTGACTTGAACTAGCTTGGGACTGAGTTGTAGCTGATATTATTGGAAAATTTATGGTTTGGTTGTCATTGCTGTGACAAATTTACATGTGCAAACCATTGTTCGCCCCAATTTCAGATAAAGAAGGAAGGCTATGTAGGTTGACTGTGTCTGATCGGATGAATGCTCTTGTCATGACAGGTAGAATGACTGATTCATGTAGATTGTAGTCGACGCTAATTTGGGATTTAGGTGTAGACCTTTAGTTATTGGCCTTCTCATATTTCTTGCATGGTGGTTACCCAGATGTGTGATTTGGCAGTTCAGGTTTTCAATTGATATTTCTGGAGAAAACTGTGCGACACCATTCATTCTATTTCACTATCTTCTTGTGGAACCTGAGCTGTCTTCTGTATTGTCGTTTTCTCAGAGAGTCAAATTGCTTATGCGACACTTAAGTTTAGGTTGCTGTGTTCTGTCATTTCACCGTTTATGTGATACAGAGGACAATACTCTGGCTGGCTTGGTTCCTCTTTTCTGTTACGCATCTATAGTGGCTTAGTTTAATATATGTCGTTCGTACTTTCCAGAAGCATAAATTGTATGCCTTTCTTGAAGGTTGTTTTTTGGCATAGCGGTATGTTGCATATTACCTAATGTTGGAAGGTTAATCCATGTCATAGGCATTGCAGGAACACACAGGCATTTCAAAATGCTCATATAGGTTATGTCTTTCGATTGTTCATGTATAGTTGCGAACAATGCATGTTTGGTTTTGTTTGAAAGATTGAAATTCTTGCTTTCTATCCCAAGTTTTATCCGTTCTTTCATAACGGTGGTGTTCTAGCCAGCTTGTGTGCATATCTACTAATCCATTGAGTGCGTGCTATCGGAAGCTCCCTCGGGAATATTTTGAGCATTGGAAGTTAAGTACTTGAGTGAATGTTCCCAATGACCAGTGTCATGTTTCTGTGGCTGCGCTTTGTTGCTTCCGAGTACACGTCCGTGAAAAGGACTGAAATAAAACTGGAGAATTAACTATCTTCTTGAGCTTATAGTAGCTTTAGTGACATTGTTGGCATCATTTGTGTATGTACTTGAACATTAGGAACTTAGCATCCTTTGTACTTGTTACCATTCTCAGAAGAAAAAAAGTTTATGATCCTTTGCAAATATCTTGATTTATTTACAACCTTGTGGCGATATTGATATTTGTACCCAACTGGATAGGTTACTATTTAGAATGATGCAATATTTATGATGTTCACGTGGGCACCTATATATATTTTTAAAATACATTATTAAATAGTGCAGGAGTAATAGGGTCTACCCAAAGTTTGGGATTATTATAGTAATTTCGCTCAATGTTTAGATATATTTTGAATCAAATACTTCGGGTTGGCCAAGTAGTATGAGCTTGGGACTTCCATGTTGGAGGTCTCAAGTTCAAAATCCCTTGCCAGCGAAAGCAAGGGATTTGCCTTCTAGGTCAAGTTCGTCGCACCAGGCTTACCTAGTGCGGGTTACCTCTCCTATGTGGTTTACGAGCTATTGCATAGGAGCAGGGCTTTACCCTGTGAGCATCCAAAAAGGATAGTGGCTGCGGGTTTCCGTTGTTGTCAAAAAAACAAATACTTAAAAGAAAAAAGAGATAAAGATGCAAAAAAATGAGTGAAATAAAACATGATTAAATCTAAAACAAGTATGGATTAGCATATTTTTCTCAATGTCACACAAAAATTAGCCACAAAAGGCGGATAAAATAGCAGCAAAATGTGGATTTCAATTTATCAAAACCAATCACTAAAGAATCTCTCTATAAAAACTTCTCATTAGCCCAGAAGGTTTTCATATATATTGAATACCAAAAACATTAACAATTAAGGAGTTTTATATATTTAATATATACGTATATATAATTTTATATAATATATCAAGAATCAATATGGCAAGTGCTCAATGCAATTCTGATAAATTCCATAGCAAAGCTCAGGTGAAATATCATATCTTAGAATATATTGTTTATTCCATCTCATTTTATATGATAAAAGAATAATCAATTTATGTATTTGAAAGTAAATGTCGATTCAAGATTTAAAATTTATGATTTGTAGATTTTAGCCATTTTGAGCTTACTAGTTCTAAGCTTGTAATTTGTAACAATTCGAGTCGAAGGTATTGAGTTCTGTTGAAGTTATACTGTAAACACCATATCTATATAACTTTAGTTTTTACCCTCAACAATATACTCTTATAACCATGGATGCATATCGACATGTTTAATTTCACAAACTTCTAAGGATACTTCTAATATGCACGAAAAAATATGATTAAAACTCATCATTTGATCAAATCACTGTCATATAAAATGAAACGGACGTAACAAATTTATATAAAAATTATGGTTTAGTAAATTCCTAATTTTTACCTTATCTTTTTTTTCCTTCTACTCTTATAAACTTGCAATTTTTGGTAGGCAAATCACTCTGTTAGCAAAGTTGAAGATGCAATTCAAAGAGCTTGTGAATCAGCTCATCAAAAAAGGGAACATAATTCTGGATTTCTTCACCAGGTAATTTTATTAGATATCATTGAATAGTCGAAGTGTGCGTAAACTACTCTCGAAATCGCGATTACAAAAAAAATCAAAATATATTTTTGGTGTATTAAATTATTTTTCTTGTTGATTGTATTTTAGACTGGAGAGCAAATGTTGCACATGGCTCAAGATGCAGTTGATGGGGTGAAGAACACATTTGGAATTGGAACTAAAAATAATAAATAAAAGAATTATTGTTCACTAATATGTTATATAAGGATTTGTAACCAATAAGAATTATCTATCACTATGTTATTATTAATCATATAAGCATGTCACAATTATTTTTTGTTGGTGTGTGTTTGCGCATTAAGATTATTTATAAAATGAACCAAAAATAAGAGAAAAAAATAAGTCAAATAGTTTTGCTTTCGATATCGATGGAAGGGTACTTTCAGAGTTTGAGATGTCTGAGCTTAGGGCTCCACAAGCATTTAAAGTTTTGCTATCTTTCTCTTTACACGCAATATATGGTGGTTTTTTGAGTTCATAGGATAACAACATAAGAAAACCTAGAGCATGGTCGTTAGTCATGTTTTTGTGGAGCTTGATGCTCTATGGCGTAGACGTCTTTGATTAGTTGAAGACAAAAATATAAGAAAAATCTAGCGAGGGAGCTTATAAAATCACTAGTTATAGCTGTAATGGCACTCTTATTCTTCATGATATTATAGTATGTAGCCCTAGAAAAACAACGAGGAGCATGGTCCCTAGTCTAATTTTGTAGTTTGATTCTCTTCGTTATAGATGTCGTTAATTAGATAGAGACAAATATATAAAAAAGTATATGATAAAAGATACTTATAAATCACTAGGTAGTCAGACATAACTCCTCTCAATCATTTACTTTTACGAAAAAACAGTTCCTTTGGTCATAAATTAACCAAAATATATACTAAATTGCTAAATGAGGCTAGCAAGTAACATTGTTCCTCATGAGAAGTACATATCAAATGAGTACACATTTATACCTTAGTGAAACCAAACAAATATTGGTATTTCTATGATCTTTGCTTTCCAATGCATTGTAGAAATTGTAATAAACAATCAGTTCGGTGCACAAAGTATCTCGTGTTCACACAAGATCGAGTCTGATACAGAACATCTTAGAAAATTCTAGTTTTTGTAAAAAACTTTAGATATGCTAGAAACCTTTTTGTTGTAACTCATAATTTTCAAACTTTGCCTCAAAATATCAATCTCCCTCTCCCTCTTAACTTCTTGTTTCTCCATTGAAACAATTTTTTCTTTTAAATGTGCAATGACTTCTTCTTTTGCTTTCAACTCCATATGTAGTTCTTCTAATAATTCCACTTCCTCTTTTCTCCAGCAGAGTCTTTCTCCTATGAAAACAAATTAAACACACCATCAAGAATGATAGAATTCATTTTGCATGGTACAATTGAGCAGAAACAGATTCAGAATTTCGAGTTTATAAGTTCCGAATTGTAGAAAGGTAAGTACTGAATTTTAGATAACTTATTTATTTATATCAAGTGGATTTCTCAACATAAATATAGAATGTTGGGCTAACACTAATGAGTTCCACCGAAAGTAACTAGAGTTCTAGCTCCGTTTATATAATTAAATTTTACTAATTGGATAGGGAGTTAGACTCTATAGGTTACAAGACTTCAATAAATTCAAGAGTGTGAACTTTGGAGTGACCTTTACAACACTAGAAGCTTCTTTAAGTCGATAAGATTCAACAATTTATATATTAATAAAACTAATTTTTCTTACTCCTATTTGTATATTACTATTTTGTCGATTAACGAGACTCAATTAAACCCTCAAAGAGACTTGAGGGATTAACATGAGAGGACATGAATGAATGCATTTCTAGGAGCTACCTCCAAGCAAGTGTTATGTAGCAAAATAACTCGAATTTCAAATTATACGTTGCCATATAAAAAGTGTAAAAACCAAATAGGACTATAAACATATAAAATAATAAAAATAATAAATAATTAAATTTACCTTGATTTGTCCTTTGAATAAGTTCATCAAGCTCATTTTTAATAACAAAATAGAGATTTTTCCATTTCTCAATAGCTTCATCTCTTCTAACTTCCTCTTCTCTAATTTGCTCCAACAATGAATTTCTCACCAACATATGATACTCTTTATTATCACATTTTTCACTTACCATTTCTTGATTTTCCACTTTATCTTTATCTTCTTTATAATCTTCCAATTTTTTCTTCAAATCATTTAATTCTTCATTAAGTTTCTTCTTTTCTTGCTTCCATTCTTCTTCTTTTACTGCAAAAACAATCATTTCTTGATTGTAAATTTCACTCTCATTTTCCCTTATACACATTATTTCACTTACCTCTTTTTGAAGTAACCTTACTTTATACTTCAACTCTTCAATAATTTTGGCATTTGGATTGTTTTTATGATTTTTTGTTTGAAGACTTCCCATTTTGCTAAAAGTCTTTTTCAACTCCCTTTTGCCTTTTTATTTTTCTTCTTCTACTAATAATGGAACTATTTATATTGGTGACTATGTGGTATATATATAGCAAGTTATTGAATATTGAATATTCAGGTTTTGTTGTGTGTTTTAATGAAGGGGTGCCTTAGTACAAGGGTCCATTTAGGAGGTTTCTAAAAATAGAGTTACCTCTCGAGCTGAGTCAGAAATTTATATAAAAAATTTAAATATATATAGATTTTATATTTGTGACTAGTAAATTTTTGAACCTTTACACTCCGATCGATCTTCAAGAAGATTCAACCGTTTACATATAATCAAAAGGGTTACTTTTTTAAAATGATTCATTTCCTTTTAGCTTTACTCGAAAATCATCATTATTTATTTAATTTTAAAATGGTTAAATTTATATACGCTGATATATAAAATTGTTAAACTATTAGATTATGAAAATATAACAATATATAACAATTCATAACAAATCGAAATTAATAACTTAAAAAATAATATAGGTAACTAAAAGTGACTTTCGTGATCTGAATTCAGATGAACTCGATCTTTAAAGTTCTTACCATTATATATATATATATATATATATATATATATTGGACCAATAAAAGAGGAGTGTAGGAAGGAGACATAAATGCCTGAAAAAGAGGCTCCACCAACATAATAAAATGTGAAGTGATAGCACTAATTCAATTATTCATTAATGGAAACTGTGAAAGATGCTTGTGAATTGTGATACATACTTTACACAAAAAATAAAAGTCAATATCTTTGAAAAAATTGACACATTGAATAGAATAAATCCACTAAATTCCAAAATCACATATAAAATAAGTATCCAAGGACGTGATCTAGCTATCATTGAGAATTTACATGATCTCAAATTCAAATTTCAACGTAAATAAAATATTAATTATTTTTTTTTCATTTATTCTAAATTTATTGATCAGATCTTATATATTACAAATAAAAAAAATCACATGTAAATCCTTTATAGGAGCGTGTGTTTTGTGAGGTATTGAATTTTTAGATCTCTTTTTGTATCTATTTGGCCAATTATTATTTTTTATAAATATAAATTATAATAATATTAATAATTATTGGGCCTACAATCACGGAGGAAAACATGGTGCGCATATTTGACAATAATTTTTTATTTTTGAATATATAAATATATACCTTTTTGAGCATGGTATTGCTCAACATTATGATAAATATTATTTGATTTTAAATTATATAAATTGATGATGTAGATTTTATATTTTTTTTTTGGTATCAGCTTAACATGTTATACCATATAATCTTTTGGTATTTTTCAAGAAAGAATGTTTTCGTGTTTTTTTGACATATTAACGTTTAGAAAGATCGATGCCATAAAAATATTAGATTCGAATAATAAAGTAGAATTTAGATATGCATTTAATATATGGTGTCAAATTTAGATAAATCTAGAAGTATTCTTCCTAGAAACTAATTAGGATTAATGATTTTCTTGGCAATTTCATAGTACTAATTATCATACTAGACATATAAAAAAACTTATCATGATCATTCTAGAGAATAAATTCTTATAGTGCTAATGCACTAGATTGAACCACTAAACCATATTTAAAAATATTTTTTCTTTCTTTATTGTCATACATAGGATAATAGGGCATTTCAAAATTCTAGGCAGCCTACCAATCTAACAATTAAAAAAATACTAGTACTATGTTTTATATATATATAGTAATAATAATAATATTTGTCAAAAATAATTCTTAAACAGTTAGGTACTATGAGAAAAATGTGCACTAGAATGAAATTGATGTTTACCAACAATATGAAGATTTATTCAAGTTAGCAGTATGGTTTCACTTGGCTTTCTTGTTCAAAGAATACCAGTAGTTTGAGTTTAAACAGAGTCGATCACATATATTTTTTAAAAAATATTGATTAATATGCATAAAAAGTTAAAGATAATCGTACAAATTTGTTTTATGATCCTTGAACTTGAAAAAAAAAAGTAGTGTACTTTGCTCCTCGAAAATTACAAGTGACACGAGTGGATTTACAAAATTAAAATTAAAACAATATTCATTACATGAATTATTCGCCGTTAAAAGGTATTAGTGACAAAAAATGTTAGTTTTAGCGGCATTAGTCGCTGCTAAAAGGTATTTTTACTGACAAAATTATAGTTTCAGCGAAAATAATAGTAAAAGGTATTATTAGTGACAAAAAAATATTTGTTTTAGTGGCAATAATAGTCGCCACTAAAAAGTGTTTTTATTGACAAAAGATTATAAGGAAAAAGGGTCTGATATACCCCTCAACTTTGTCATTTAGAGCTGATATACCCCTTGATGAAAGTGGCTCATATGTACCCCTACTTGTAAGCAAATGACTCACATATACCCTTTTCCTCTAACGGAAATGAAAATAATCTAAATTTTTATTATTTTTTTCTAAAAAATATAATCCCATATGAGTAAATTTATTCCTCGTCAGACATATTTTTTTTGACTTATTTTATTTCAATGACAAATTTATAATTATTATTTTGATAATCAAATTTATTTACGTTTCACTAATATTCTTGTAAAATTTATTGTAGATGACCAAATTTTTTCTTCGAATACGAAATTAAATTACAATACACACAAAAAAAATAGTTTAATTTTTTTTGTTTAAACTAAGGAATGAAAGAAAAATAAATAAATTAAGAATAAGAAACTCAAATAATTATAATAAAAGAAGTCAAAAAATAATTTATGTATGAAAAAATATGAAAATATACCTTGAACTTTGATAGAAGGATCATATATACCCTTAAATAATTTTTTTTAAAAAAATTAGAAGTATTAAAAATAAATTTAAATTAATTTTTTAAATTCCGTTAAATGAAGGGCATATGTGAGCTATTTTGTAACGACAGGGGTATATGTGAGCGGTTTGTATAACAGTAAGGACATATATGAGCCACTTTTATAACGAGGGTATATTAGCTGCAAATGACAAAGTTGAGGGGTATATCAGACCCTTTTCCCAAGATTATAGTTTTAGCGAAAATAATAGTCGCTGATATTTTTAATGACAAAAAAATATTAGTTTTAGCGGCAATAATAGTCGCCGCTAAAAGTATTTTTAAGTAACAAAAAATATTAGTTTTAGCGGCAATTATAGTCGCTGCTAAAAGGCTTTTTAGTGACAAAAATATTAGTTTTAGCGGCAATTATAGTCGCTGCTAAAAAGGTGTTTTTAGTGACAAGATTTTTCAGTTTTAGCGGCAATTATAGTCGCCGCTAAAAGGTGTTTTGACAAAATTTTTTAGTTTTAGTGGCAATTTTAGTCGCCGCTAAAAGATATTTTTAGTGACAAAAAATTATATATTTAGTGGCAATTATAGTCGCCGCTAAAAGGCGTTTTAGTGACAAAAAGTTATAGTTTTAGCGGCAATTATAGTCGCCGCTAAAAGGTGTTTTTAGTGACAAAACTTTTTAGTTTTAGCGCAGCAATTATAGTCGCCGCTAAAAGGTATTTTTAGTGACAAATTTTTTTAGTTTTAGTGGCAATTATAGTCGCCGCTAAAAGGTGTTTTTAGTGACAAAAATTTTTAGTTTTAGTGGCAATTTTAGTCGCCGCTAAAAGGTATTTTTAGTGACAAAAAATAATAGATTTAGCGGCAATTATAGTCGCTCCTGCTTCACCTGCTAAAAGGTGTTTTTAGTGACAATTTTTTTTAGTTTTACCGGCAATTATAGTCGCCGCTAAAAGGTGTTTTTGACAAAATTTTATAGTTTTAGCAGCAATTATAGTTGCCGCTAAAAGGTATTTTTAGTGACAAAAAATTTATAGATTTAGCGGCAGTTATAGTCGCCACTAAAAGGCGTTTTTTGTGACAAAAAGTTATAGTTTTAGCAGCAATTGTAGTCACCGCTTAAAAGGTTTTTTTGTGACAAAAAATTATAGTTTAAGCGGCATTTGTTGTCACCAGTAAAAGGTATTTTATTTACCAGCAATTTAATCCGCCACTAAATCAAATAACAATTGCCGTTAAAAGATAGTATTAGTGGCAAATAAAACCGCCACTAATTCTTATAGAAGTCGCCATTAAAATCTAGTATTTTGAAAAACTACGAATCTAGGAACCAAAAAATTGAGTTCAAGTTCATCGTATAGTAATATCATAACTTTATTATTGAGCTAAGCCTAAGGATCTATCAAAACCAAGTTATCTACCCTATTGTGGCATAAGATTTGTATACATGTTATCCCTTCCTAGGTTCTATTAAAATTTTAAATTCAAATGTCAAAAACTACACTAAAAATACCATATTAGTTGCAATCTTCATAATCTTAATATGACAGGATTACAACTTAAAATATTTATTGAAATCCATTCAATTTGACTCTCGATAAGCAAAAAGGTGACGAGTAGGTATTAGGCCTAAAAACAAAATTAACAAATACATTAGTACTAAGACTACAACAAGAGTAATTAAAAAGACAATATTTTCGATAGGTAAATGATACATTTGATCCTTTTCCTCTTTTCTCCCACTATTAATTCACAAGTAAAACTACATCTTCTAAATAATTATAATACTAAACCAAACTTCATCTTGTTGTCAAATCTGTGAAGTAATCAATCATTTCTTCTAAATACCTCTTTGAAGCAATTTGCTTCTTCTGGGAAATGAATTAGGACTATGAATCACTTAATAGAACACGAAAACCATCTCCATCTGGCTACCAAAAATACAAGGCGCGGAGGAGCAAAAAGAGCTTATATGATGTACAAAACTCGTTGAACTAAATAAGATTGCTGGTTCTCCGCTTTGATGGTCCTCCAGGGAATAGCTTTATTATCCATCCCAAGACCCGTTCCACCACCTGATACAAAAGAAGAAAGTATAGTCAAGGCATCGACTATCAAGTTTAAATTAGAAGGAGATGAGGAAGCAAAAGAGTGAGAACATTTGACGCCAAGAAGACGAACACCTCAAAACCATCTGACAAGCTGTGTAATACTGTTAGTCCAATATCTCTAAATGACACAAAATTGTAGAAGGTTAGAGTTTGTTGGAGAAAAGAGTGTTTGACTGGCTCTCAAAAAAAAAAAGCAAACGTCCTTTTGGTAGACTCAGTTTAAAAGTTTCACCATGAAAGAAGGTGAATCTATTCATGAAATGTGCACTAGATTCTCCACCATTACAAACGAGATCATGTTCCTAAAGAACCTAGCACTGCGTGCAAACAGGTCACTAAGATACAGGAGATCCTCTCAGAATCTTGTACTGATGAAGTTGATGTTGTCGATGATATAAGGGATCCTAAAGTACATACTGATGTTGGATGCTCTATTACAACATCTTTAAGTTCATGAGATGCACATAAGAAAGGACGGTCTCATTCTCAAAGGTAAAGACAAAAGGTTGGATCCAAGTAATGAGGTTGATCGGAAGAAAGATGCAAAAATGAATAAATCACTTGCTCTCAAGGTGCCACAAAGTCAAATCCTAAAATAGATGAGAACATGGCCTATCTCCCTTGAAGATTTCAAAAAATCGTGAGAAAACATGGAGGTCTCATAAAGAAAGGAAATCTCAACAGGGCTACAAACTTAAATGACTTGTGCCACAAGTGTGGTAAACCATGTCACTTAATCAGAGATGCACAAGGAATATGACAAGCCTGGAGGAGACAAGGACAAAAGAAGGGACCAGGTCTCTCACAAGTCAAGCAGAAGGGAAACGGTTGATTATGTGGTGAAGAAAGCTCTGGCCGTCTGGGGATACATTCTAACAAGAACCTCTACCATTTGTGGGTGTTCGAAAACTGGTATTTATTTTATGGTGTTTCTACATCACTGATAGATCCATTAAGCTCCAGCAGTAGCTTAGAGGAAAAGAAAGAATTTCAAACTTAGCTCTCTCTTAGTCTATAAAAGAACTAAAAAAGCTTACTCTTGAAGCGTAACTTATAAGTTGAATAACGAATCTGAGGGCACAAGCCGCAATGGTATTGGCATTCCATGCCAATTTTAACTTTAATTCGAAATACAAAGTGAAATATAAGTAAAAATTTTAAAACTTTAACAGATAAAAGGGGCACAGAAGATAACTTTAAGAGGATGGAGGTTTATAAGCATATGGAAGCAGTTATATTTACAAGTCATATTACAGTACAAGAAAGGTTCACACAGCACCTTTATTGAATGAAAAGTTTCAAGGTAGGTCATTTTACCTCATCACCTTCATCAGCATATGTGGTGCTGTCCTGCACAGATAAAGCATCTGGTAGCCTTGTTTGGTTATTACCAGTTGCCATGCTTTGAGCAGTCAAAAGCTCCGATCTTTGTGTTTGAGCTTCAAGCTTTCGGGTTAAGTCCTTGTTTAACTCCTATGCTCATCAAGGAACAAAACAAAAATCCATCAAACAAGTGTAGAGAGAGAATATTATTAGTATCCAAGCAGTGAACTTTTAGTTGCACTTCCCAACACAAAGCACTACATGAAAATTAATAGATATTGAAAGAACATGTGCAAGCATACTTACAAAAGGGAGACTTGATCAAAAAAATTTACATTTGCAATAGAACATTGGTGGTTTATATTAGAAGCAACAGAAAGGAAAAGGATGAAAAAGAATCCTAAAGGTGAAAATAATTTGACTCATATTTTTTTTGAGAATGATAACGTTAATTTGACTCACATATTAGATCCTGAGGAGAAATATTTTTGGATGATAATACTAACAAGTGACAAGGACAGCTTCCCTCAAATTACCTGCAATTCAGAGCACTGAGATGATTCCAGTGACAAGGCTTTCATCAACTCTTCTTTCTCCAAGGTTAACTATAAGCATCCAAGTTGGAAGAAAATTATTCAATTCTTTTAAATGGTAAAAATGCCTTGAAATATATAAACAGCTAAGAAGACAGGTAGTCGAGGGTGCAAAAATGATCAGCCTCAAGGATTTTATGCAAGAAGCTACCTCAGAAATCAATGTATTGATGCTTTGAATCATCCTTATCTGATCTGGAGGAACAGTCGTCGATAAACTTTCAAGACTGAGCTGGTCATTCTCAGATAGATATGAAAAGGTGGGGCCCTCAGAACTGCGAGCTCCCAAGTTAGGGCCATCCAAGGTAGTATTTACGATTTTTTCTTCACCTGAATCAATACAACACCACATAATTGAAATCTACAATAATGTTAAAAAATACATAAAGAGGCATCCTGAAGATGTAATCTGTGAAATCTGAAACCACATACGGAGATCCTCTGTTGAAGTTGATACATCCTTTTTACTAGGCATACTCCTGCTAACATCAAGTGACTTGCCACTATCAGAAGTTTTTCGTAGTTTCTCCTGCAAGAGCTTCTTTTCTGTTGAGAGAAAGAAAACAAAGATGTCGTTATGTGTACAAGAAACTGGTGGAAAGAAATAGCAACTCTATATCACTCTAAACCAATTACAAGCAAAATAACTCGAATAAAAAAAAGGTTCTTTAACTATCAGCATCTTACCTTCTTTTAGAGCATCAATTGTTGACAGCAGATCCTGGCGTTCCTTTCCAAGGCTAGCCATTTTCTTTCTGCAGCGATTAAGAGAGAGTCGAATGACATCAACACCCACATTTATTGCAATTTACAAGAGTTAATGAGTAAGGCAAAGCGACTCAATTCTGACTTCTAAAATTTATAGCAATCTTCGCTAACTGTTCTTGCTAATATACATTTTCACAAGTAGATGGAAGTAACCAATATGCGTTACAAAAACTACTAAAGTTTCCTCCATTGCAAGCACCAGGAGAGGCACATAAAGTTTTTGGCAGCACTTCAATATTATATGGAAGTGAATGGTGTTACATAAAGGTAGACATGAATATCTGATAAGTGATATATCCTTCTCATTGTAATAAACTATTGACTTCATTAAAATGATTATGCTATCTAGTTTCCCTTAGCTTTTATCCCAGTGGATAAAGGAGAGATGGGAGGGAATGAACAATAAAAGCGAAAGATGACTATGACCAGATCAGAGTTAAAAGTGTTCACAGGCAAGTTTTGAGCATACTTGAAAGAAGATATTTCAGCTTGTGATTTCTCTAATTCCCTCTCCAGTTTAAGCTCATTAGATCTCAGACGAAGTGCCTACAAGATAAGTTAGACAAAGTTATTATCTCAAAGTGGAGGAAATTATCATCTATCTGAAAAACAAATGGCTGCACTTAATAATCAATTTCGAAGAAAAGAAATCTAGAAAAGGCACGGTTTCAAAAAGGTGAGTAGACCGTTCCGATCTAATATCAACAGGAAGTATAATCGACGATGCACTGATCCAAAGGAAAAATTAAAATCATAACAAATATTGGATATATACCTTACAGCATCGTGATCCAAGTGATATTAAATTTTATTTCTAAACCATTAGAACAAGGACAAAACATCAGACTCCACATACCACCTCAGTATTACAAGCGGCAAACATTGATACAAAAAGTATTATATGTGACAGACATTGAAAAGATACCTGAGTGAGGACATAGTGAAGGCTACCATATGGGTTCTAATAGAGTATCACTTTACACTTCAGAAGTGAATATAGCAAGATACTCCGCATTAGATGTGTCAGCTAATCAATATAACAGAATATACACAATACTAAGTTTGCTTCAAGTTCAACAAATATGAAATATCAATAAAAACTAAACATTATCAACATTAGATTTTCAATATGATAGTTCTAGTGTAATACAATTTATCTTTTGAACAAGGGTATGTTCCTCTTCCAAAGTATAAGAAAACAGAATATGTCTACCTTAACTATCTCTTTTAATCAAATAGGACAACTTTGCAGATGTAAATGATGTTAAAATTCATTTTAAATTCTCAATAAGGGCTTTGTGAAGGATTTGGCAACACAAGGCAATGCCACTATCCGTTACCTTCTCTTCCAAACCAATCACTTCAGAAGCCAATAGCTTAGCACGTTCATCTGCAGCATTACATTCAAATTGTACACTTGCATATTCCATTTTCACAGCTTCAAGTTCGACCTGCTTACATTAGATGCAATGACAGAAAATCACATACCTCAATGGTTATGGTAAGAATCAAGTCCATTATGATGAACTGAACTCAACAGGACATGTTAGTACAAAGATAGCTTGCCAGACATCTGAACTAATCTCAACATGAGAAACCAGTTCATTCCACAATACCGATTCCAAAAGTGTTCTCCAACATAAGGGTCACAGGTGTATCGTTGAATATAGAGTTAAGATGAATGAACACGTTCTTCAACATCTTAATATAGCAGATACGGTTCAAATGGTATCTATTTTATGAAATTTGTATCTGGAAAACCATTGAACACCACATAGAAAATTTGTTGCACCTTGCTGACCAAATTACAGACAAAACAAAGGAACTTCATGAAGCCTCCTCAAAACTGAAGAAAGGGGGTGACCAAGAACTAAGGTTTTAATGTTGTGAATTTATTTTTATTAAATAAAAATATAAACCACCAATGAGACGTACTTAGACAAGAAAGATCATTGGATGCTTCAACATATAGACTGGCCACCCCTCTTTCTTGTCCAAGTCAATCAAATAATTATTTGTGAGTTGTGACTATGCATTTCTTCTGTTTCTAAACAGCAGAAATAAATATGATTGTTTGCATTTTCCATTCTTTATTTTTATAATTGAGTTATGTATGAAATGCCTGGCCAAAATTTCTGCTGTTTAGAAACAAAAGAAGAAAACTGCACGTAACTTTCCGTGGCATCCATGTTGTGCTACAACTTTTAAAATGGCATATCAAGGATAGTAAAGAAAATAGGTCATTTCATTTCTTTGTCGATCAACTTGAAAATGTATCCAGATAAAACCAGTGGAAGTCATTAACACCCACTACCTTGTACTAATTGACAATTTTAGCTATGTTGTGCAATGTAACTTAAGGTGTACATTCAAAAAGGAATACAGATCAGGGAATATAGCAATAATTGGGAGTAACCGAGTGAGTTTTGTTACAAACCAGTTGTGCTTTAATTTCCTCCTGCAGTTCTTCTATGTCGGTCTTTAATTGGGTAACAAAACTGCCCTGGAAAAGAAAATTAAGCAACTGATTGGAGCAAGACTCATTTCTTCAAATAGATAACAAAAAATTCCGAGAATGTTAGACATGCATATTATACTTAGTACAACAAATGTTAGCTGGTGTTACATGATCAAACCCTTAAGGAGCAGATGTGGCTAGTGTACACTACATATTTGAAGCTTGTAATATGCTTCATAATAAATAATTTATTCAACTTCCTACAAGTTTAAATGTGTGTTCTTTGAGTGTGGGAATATATATTTTATATATAAACAGAAAAGTGTACCTGTTGATTATAACTCTCTGTCAGGGCTGAATTTTCAGCAGCTAGAGACTCTGCTAGAACTCGTGAAGCCTCAAGAGCACGTTGTGAAGAAAACTTCTCTTGTGTTAAATCTTCAATATGCTGTCAAAAAATGTAAAAGTATACATCATGCAAGTATTTGACAATTTAAGACCTGCTGTGAAATGCTACATCCCTGAGAGTCATGCAATCATGCATGACCTCTATCATCCTCGTCCATTTCCCTCATTGTAAATGCAAGAGACAATTTTTAATCTTGCCAGTTTCTCTGACCAGGCAATTGAAGAGTGCTCTTGTACTGACACATTGAACAAGCGAAATAACTATCAGATGGAAAGTGTTTTCTAACTATAACAAAAAGATCTTTTTTAAGATGAAAGAACAAGAAATGTAATTGGCAGGTGTTCACTTCACATCAGAGTCTGTTTATTAAGATATTTCATGTGTTAAATTATTTTACTTAATTAAGCTTAATCTCTATACAATCACAGACCTTTCCAGGTTCATGTACAATAATATAGAAAGTAAACAAACCTGACTAATGCACACCTCAAGATTAGCGGCATTATTCTAGCTTACTAACATTTTCTCGATTGCATTCAACTTCACTGAGCCACAATCCACTATATTTAAAAGTTAATTCTAGTCTACACATTTCAATGTGAAAAACTCGAAATCGTGTCTTCAATTATCAACTTCTGCAGTTCTCTCCAAGGTGCTTCAAATAACTGGTAACGAGATGGCTATTATTGGTCCAATGTACTGACTACTAAGAATAATCTTTTCAAATGATGTTATTTTGTTGCAGTTAGTGTTCAGAATGCTTTGTTATGCTTTCAATCCCGTTTGTTCTTTTCCTGGACTGTTTTCCCTTGAGTCAAGGGTCTATAGAAACAACCTCTCTACCTCTGTGATTGGTGTAAGGCCTGCATACACTCTACCCTCCCCATAACCCACTTTGCGGGACTACACTGGGTATGTTCTGGCAGTTTTTAAATTATAATGCCTTTGCTGACAAAAAATCACAACTTCCCCTAAACTTCAAAGTTCTAGAGGAAAGAAGAGAAAAGAAGGGGGGAAAGAGCATGAAAGAAAGTAAAGAAGGATTCATAACATCCTAGTCGAACAGAGAAAAACTTGCTTCATAAAGGGACAATTGATCGAGACAATTTAAAATGACTAAGCCAAACAAGACGAAAAGGTTTTCCATTCTAATAAAGACTGATTTCTATCCTGAAGCAGCAGAGTGCTTTTCATATATTAACCATCAATTAGCAGTACTTTCAAACTAAATTTTGACTTTGAAGACATCCTGACCTAAACTTATCACTTTCTAAAGCAAGGGAAGTAAATGTGGAGAAACCTGTTCTAAAGCAGCAAAATCTTCATTCTGTTTTTGTGCAAAAGACTGATAACGGTTGTCCATGTTCCCCGTGTCTTTCTCAGCATGATGATTCAACTGATCAGACCCACTTGCAGAAAAGGTTGAAGAAGTCATCATGTTCCTGGAGTTGGACGATTCCAAAGTGTCCGTGGGATGACCCTTTGGATCAAATCTGTCTGCAGAAACTGATTCAGTTGGAGAAGGGGATACCACAGGAACTTTTGAAATGTTGATGGAATCAAGGAAAGACGGACGAGATTTCCTCCCAACAGTGGCTGTAGACAATTTTGAATTACTAGAAGAACTTCTTGCTTCAGAACTGATGTCCTCATGTTTAGAATCAGATGCCCAAGAAGACGAATTATTATTCATGTAAAAACCAGAGTTGTTGAACTGGCCATACCCAATATCAGAAATTATAGAACTATTAGCTTCAACAGTACCATCTCTTTGCCCATCTTCCAAAGAAAACTTTGTACTGCTGGTTGTGGGGCGCATATGATCTATCAAAAAAAAAAGGGAAATAGATGTCAGATTATGCAACCCCAATTAATTAACTGGATAGATGAATCGCAGGTACGCAATGAGGCTCTCTAAGGTAAAAAGGAAGCACAATAAAGGATTAAAAAAAGAAAAAACGGAACTCCAAATTACCATAAAGTTACCTTCATATGATGAGGAGGTAAACCCACTAGCCCAACGATCCATAAAACCTGGTTTTTCTTGCAGATGAGGACCACGGGAGTTTTCAGGTGAAACATTAGCAGGAAAAGCATGAGAAGTACTAGAGTTCATTACAGAAAGATCTTTTGTTTTTTTTCCCTCTATTTCACTTTTAGCTACACCATCATGACTAAACAAACCGGAAAATTTACTGTAACTGGGGAATGATGACAGAAAATTAGGTGTAGAATGACTAGTATTAAATCCAAATCCAATACTTCCCAAGGCTCCATCATTCTCCGTCTTCTCAGGGGGATTATAACTATCACTGAATTGTTCAGATGATTTAGGTTTCTCATCACCCTTAAGCACTTTATCTCTAAAATGAGATGGCGTGGAGATGGAAGAAGTAAAACCATGATTGTTTCCACTAATAGTAGAAGTAGCGCTAGCATCATTATCATTGTTGTGTAAACTATGAGTAGGACTAGCATTAGCTTCATAGGAAGAAGCGAAACCACTCTTCTGTGCAAGATCAGGATTCTTGAAATCATGTGTAACGTCTACTCGAGATAACTCTGAAACAGCTCCATCAAGGGCATCAGATGTACCAGCTCCACGAGAGTCAGTGATTCTTGTGTGTTCACTGTCTGAAGGTTGGTTATCAAAGCCTCCACCCGAACCATGAGGTTGATTATTGGAAGTTGACTTTTTTGCCTTCTCTGCTTTCTTTTTGCGGAACTCTTCTAGCTGCAAATGATACAAGATAAAGAATTATGAGATGAAAGAAAAATTACAGCAAAACTAATAAAAGGAAAAGATTCTATATTCAGAATTCAGGCAACACAATTGCAGATTAACAACATTGATAGGACAACAAGGAGGACAACAGAGCCAAAAAGGTTTTGACCATTAAAGGAGAACTAGGTAATGGCTATCATCCAACTCATGATGATTAGCAATTTATCTACCATTATGAAAAAAGAGAAGGCATAAAGCATGAAACAAAAAACAAGAATTGTATGATCCAAGAATTAGCCTTCAGGAGTAGTGGCAACTATCTTGATTGATCAATGAAAATGCATGTGGTTTTTTTACCGCAGTGGATCTACGAGAGAAGCTAATAGATGGATAGACTTCTTCTTTTATAACATAGATGAATAGGCTTCTTTGGAATCATGGAATATGATTTGGAGAATGACTGGAGTTCGCGTGTCTGGCAAGCTAGAGATCACCAATCACCAGAGCATAGAACGAGATATTCTTTTCTTGCAACCATGGAAAACATCAACTGTTCAAGTCTTATTATCTCCAACTCAGGCACTTACTCAATAGAAGGCTAAAGCCCTATATGTAATGCCGATACAAACTACAAAGTTCGTGATGCATATCTTGTTTCATTCATCTTTTTGGTGTGACTCATATGAAATAGGTATAACTGTATAAGTATCTTGTGAGTAAATGTATTGGTTGTGTATAGATTTTTTAGGAGATGTGTCCTGATCCTGACGAAAGAATGTACAGGAATTTAATAATGATTGTTGTTTAGAGACAGTGGTGTACAAGTATACACGCCAATAACTAGCTAGTACTATAATGGAACACATGCTATAAATGAGCTAATACTCCAACCGGATACTCATTAATTAACCAACAAGTATCACATATTGTTTCTGTTGCTAATCAAGGCATAATGATAGGCATATTCTTTCTCCAAATAATAGGCATAAGGGAAAAAAAGTCCTGCTAATGTTCACCCTATATAAAGGATAATGTGCATGTGATCACAATTTACAAATAAGTTAAGTATTGATGAGATCCAATTGATCTTAATTGAAATCCGTTCCACGAAAAGCTTTATACAACAATCATATGTTGCATATTCGGCTGAACTCAAACCAAGAGGAAAGCATACTAGTTACCTTTACATTTTCTGATATTAGAGGCTCTTCAATTGACATAGAAAATGGTCTACGCAATGATAACTTCTCCTCGCATCTCACCTAAGTATTACTTTTTATGACTGCTGAAAGCTAGTATTATTCAAACTAGTATAAAAGAAAAATGTGCTACAAAATGTGTTCTCAAGCAACATCAACTGATTTCGCTGTGTGATTAAATATGTAGTTGAAACTTGCACCAAAGGTAAAAGGCTCTAAAAAGCGTGTTAGTTCTATTGCATCTTTAAGTGCAATGTGAAATTGAAGTGTGGGCTTGGTAAAAATAAGGTGCAATGGGAGGGGAAAAACATATTTATACATAAATATGTAATTCAAGTAAAAGGTAACAAACTTCATTCATAATCTTTTCCTTGACAACTATGTAATACACTTATATGCCGATTAAATTTGTTGTTTAATACAGCTCCATTCAAGCTAGAATTCATGGCAGTGGTGTGCAAGCCTCATTTTCTTGCCTTCACAGCGCAACTTCAGCGAGGTGAAGCGCCTGCCTGAGATTTTCTGAGCTTCAGGGCGTGGACCTTAAATGAATGTTCGACAACACTGACTAAAATGTTGCTTAAAATGTAGTGTAGTGGCCTGCAGTAGGATCATTCAGCCCTTGATTATAGAAATTACCCACGAGAAAAGCTATATTAAAGTCAGATCGGAGCAGCCCATCTCAAAATTTTCCCATCATTGGGACATATCAATAGATACTATTTTTGTTAATCTAAGTAAGCACAAAATAAAGCCTCCCTCCATACCAATTTGTTTGCCTTACTTTCCTTTTTAGTCAGTTTCAAAAAAAAATGTATGTTTCCTTTTTTGCCAACTTTTTAATTCCAACAGTCCAGATAGCATATTTAAGACCACGAGATTAAAGGAAATTTGGTACACTAACCATACTTTATGTATCTTTAATTTTAGTATACAAGATTCAAAAGTCTTTTTACTTTTTAAAACTGCCTACCAAGTTAAAATGAGACGAAATAAATTGAAATGGAGGAGTATATATCTAGCAATTCCCTCATGCTACAAATCTTCAGCTCACAAATATTATTCAGGATAAACATTTAGTAAGCCAATATCCTCAACAAGCATTCGACTATTTCCACCTGTTTCGCAGTAGTACTCGTTCCAGAACAAACATTAAATGATAGTTAGAACATCCTAAATAGAAAAGATGCATTCTTTTCCGCCAATCTAGTAATCCAACTAAAAATAAAAGGCCAAACCAGTGCACTAAGAAACTACAATGTTCGGGTCCAGGAATGCTCAACTTTCAATTCCTGCATACCACAAATCTTCAGCTCACTAATATTATTAAGAAATCAGAATAAACACTAAGTAAACCAATTTCCTCAACAACCATTCCACTATTTCCACCCGTTTCACTGCAGTACTCGATCTAGAACAAGCATTAAATGATAGAAAAACATAAAACATTGCTCAAATAACGTGTTAGAACATCCTAAATCAAAAAAGATTCATTATTTTCCCCCAATCTAGTAATCCAATTACAAAAAAAGGACAAACTGATGCACTTTCTATATGCGGGATTCGGAAATGTGCAAATCTACCTAGAATCTAGTAATCCAACTAAAAACAAAAGGACAAACCGATGAATTGTCAGATCCTTCTATACATGGGATTCGGAAATACACAGTTTACCTAGAATCTAGAAATCCAAATAAAAACAAAAGGACAAACCAATGCACTAAGCTCCTTCTATACACGGGATTCGTAAATGCACAATTTTACCTAGAATCTAGAAATCCAACTAAAAACAAAAGGACAAACCAATGTACTAAGCTCCCGCTATTCGCAGAGTCCCGAAATATGAAATTTTTTTACCTAGAATCTAGAAATCCAACTAAAAACAAAAAGGACAAACCAATGCACTAAGCTCCCGCTATATGCATAGTCTGGGAATATGTAATTTTACATAGAATCTAGAAATCCAACTAAAAACAAAAGCACAAACCGATGCACTGAGCTCCCGGTATAGGAAGAGTCCGGAAATACACAATTTTATCTAGAATCTACTAATCCAACTAAAAACAAAAGGGCAAACCAATGCACTAAGCTCCCCATATAGGCAGATTCTGGAAATACGCAATTTTACCTAGAATCTAGTAATCCAACTAAAAACAAAAGGGCAAACCAATGCACTAAGCTCCCGCTATTCGAAGAGTCAGGAAATACACAATTTTACCTAGAATCTACTAATCCAACTAAAAACAAAAGGGCAAACCAATGCACTAAGCTCCCCATATAGGCAGATTCTGGAAATACACAATTTTACCTAGAATCTAGTAATCCAACTAAAAACAAAAGGGCAAACCAATGCACTAAGCTCCCGCTATATGCAGAGTCCGGGAATACACAATTTTACCTAGAATCTACTAATCCAACTAACTAAACGAATTAAATTCAATACAACAATCATCGTAAATCTTTCTGAAAAAAGATCATACCTTTTTTTTCCCAGCTTGCAAAAGCTCTTGCTTTCGCAAAACCTGAGCCGATGCCATTCGAATCCACACAAAAAAAATTCAAAATTCCCTTAAATCATCATCCGAAACCCTAATAATTATCAGATTTTCAACTAAAATACAGATCAATTAGCAATGTAAGTGAATCTGTAGATCAGTTTTGATGCATTAAAAAACTTAATTATTGATTTTGGGTAATTCATAGCAAAAAAAATGGAAATTTTGTGAGATTACAGAGGAAAAAGAACCTAAATTTGGATTAAAAGGAATCTAAAAAATGGATTTGGAAAGGGAGAAATTAGAGGGAGAACCGAACGGCTCTCTGTTTTTTTTTTTTTTTGTTTTTTTTTTTTGGGTTCTTTTTGAGAAATTTCTTTATTTCTTACTAATTTATTTTTATGATTTTTTATTTATTATTTTTTTAAAAAAATAAGTTTGATTTTAGAAGTTTGAAAACTGGTAAAATTATATGTATAGTCTTTTACCATCGATTGTTTCATTTTTGATTTGGAATGATAAGCTTCGTCATATTGAATGTACTTGTAATAGAAATTTTTAAAAATTGAGGGAGCATTTTCTTAAAAAAAAATGTTTCTATAATTTTAGAAAATTGTTACGCTATTTAGAAATTAAATCTATAAATTGGGGATTGAATTCGCAGTTCAAGTTGCACAATCCAGTACTATGAGACTATCTCTTTTTTTGGATTAAGGTAATTTAAAATTAGTATACATACGAAAATATTAAAAATATATCATATATTTACAGTGTAAATTTTTACCGTAGATTTGAGTGAATCCGTGGAATCACGTAGATCTGCCTCTAACTCTATCGGCTTATTTGGTCGTACAATTCTTTATTTAGATTTCTAATTAAACTTTAAAAAGCGGAAAAGAAGGTAATCAATAGATAGTAAAAGATTTACATTCGTCTTTATATAGTTGGATATAATTTTATCTACTTTTAAAATAGAATTAAGGTCGTAAAACTTTTACTCCTATTTTAACCTTGCCAAACTGAAAATCTAAATCTTAAAAATGTAGTAAGTCACGTATAATATATGTGTTTGACATTGATATTTGTGTATCACAAATTTATAGCTAATTCAAATTCTTTATGCTATTAAATTTTTTTTTATTTTTTGTATGATTTCACACTCCATTATATTTCTGGTTTATTTATATCATTTTATTAATAGTTATTTTGATATTAATAGAATTTTAACATGAAACAAGTGAATTTCACGTGTTCAAATTCTTTAAGAAGATGATCTAAATATATTACGATTTTCTTGTGACTATAACAATCTAAAGTGTTTTCTTTTTAAATATATAAACCCATTTTTAAAGTTGTTGTGATTCTAAACATATCATACATATTCTTTACAATATTCTTCGACGATTGCATAGAATAAAAATGCATAAAAAGAGTTCATATATCAAGATCGAAAAACCTAGTTATTTAATACCTAAAAGTTAATGAACTATGTTCCTTTTTTCTTTTTGATAATTTTTATATCTTCATTGAAGTCCGATTTGCTCTACAATTTTGTGTTTGTGAGTTATTACAACAATCTTAAATTAATATACAATAATCACTGAACAAATCGACTTGATTCCAAGGTAAAGATTCGTATACATTTATTGAAATACATGGTCTAAGCAACATGAACCCATAAATTTATTAACGTGATTCACCGGAAAGTCTCACATAGAAATATAAAGCGTTTTCTGACTAAGAGAGACGATTCTATACTCAAAGCTCGAGCCTGCCTCGTTAAGGAGATGCTAACATCCTCCCCCTAGCATTTTTCATGTACACAAACATCTCATCACGATTAGGTAAATTATCTTTGATTGTTTGAACTTCTTTGAATTTTTTTATCCAATTGTTAATACGAGGAAAATTGTGAGGATTAAGTAACTTAATCCCAACAATTTCTTCAATAATTTCCATCCAAAGAGAATAACCTCCAAAAGCTATGTCAACAAATCCAATATTTTCACCACCAAATAATATATTGTTTTCTCCCAAAGCATTTTCCTCTATGGTTTTGAACATTTCAAGGCTCTCCTTTATAGCATTTTGTTGCTTTTCTCCAGTGTAACAAAATACATTCCATGAACTATGCGACTGCATCACAATTTAACCAAAAAAAAAAAAGTTAAGTAATATCACATTTTATTTACTTAATTATATCCTCGACAAATTTAACAGTGTGAGTTTTGAGTACTAGCTAAGTGGAAACAAAGAAGGATGAGTAAATTTAACTAAGAAGAACCATTTGCATACTCGTTAGAGTCGATGATGTTTCATTTTCAATTTAAGTGTCTTAATTTAATTAGGCGTGAAATTTATGTACGAGGGGATGAGGGGGAGGGGGGTTCAACAGGTATATATGTAATCTCATTTTTTTTAATTACGGAACAAGAGGGAGTTGCTCGGATGGTAAACATTGTTCACTTCTAATCCTAAGATTGTGGAATCGAGTTACCAAGGAATCAAAAAGGTGGGAGCTCATAGAGCGGGATTGAAAAAAAGAAAATTGTGAATTGCTAGTAGTGCTTCACAATAGAAAATATTGATCATAATAACACCATACCTTTTCTTCGATATATTTAGCCCAAAATCGAGATGTGGCTCGTTCATATGAATCAGTTGAAAGTAATGGATTCAGTTTCCACGTCTCGTTGATGTATTCAACGATGACCATAGACTCACAAATTATCTTGTCACCATGGATTAGAACTGGAACTTTCTTGTGAATTGGATTGTATTTTACAAGCAAAGAACTTTTCTTGGACATGTCTTCATCTATATACTCATAATTTATTCCCTTTAGCTTTAATGCCCAAATAACTCTATATGTGAAAAAACTAAAAGGAGTACCTATTAACTTTACTATTTCCATTCCCAAAAAAAAAAAGATGAAATATTAACTATTGAGTGGAAAATTGAAGAATGAAAAAACTCACTTGCTCTAGGTAGTATTTATAACAAGTATTTCTTAGGGAATATTGCAACTTGCAAGTTTCAAATAAGTTTTTATTCCCTCATACTCTTTGTGCCTGAATGATAAAATTAGTCCGTAAAAATAACATATTTATCTATTTATTAACTCATTTTATTTTAATTTGTTTAAATTTAATTTATCCGCTTATATAACGTAGACACGTGAGGAAAATAAATTTTAGTCTATGTTTGTCATTAAATAATTTATTTTTTATAGTAATTTGATCAACAAATGTAATATTATAATAGAATAAAAAAGTTGATAGTAGATGATTAGGTACGTTATCATTTTAAAAGAATGTAAATGAAAAAGTCAACTGATTTTTTTAATCCAAAAATATCAAAAATTCTTTAGAATCAGTAATATTTTCAACTAAACCCTTTATTTTTAATTATTATTAATATAATGACTCTTTGAAAACTTGAAAAGGCAAATTGGACTTTGTTTAACTAAAACCCATTAATTTCTTTTAACATTAAGATTTTTTAAAAAATAAATCAGAACACAAGATATAAGATTAGTTATATATTTTCTCAACAATATCTGAATGTAAATGTTGCTAAAATCTAAGATTTACTGACAATTAACTAATACTTAATAAAAGTTTCTAATATTCTTTATTATCGTTAAAAGTTATTTTTATCGTAATGTATCGCTCGATAAGCCCAATGAAAAAAAAAACTCATAAGATGAGTTATTTCCCCATCAAAGAACATTTCCTAATATTGATAATATTATTCATAAATATTTTACTAGTAAGAAGCTTCAAACTTCATAATATTTGTGTTCCCAAAATATTTCATGTTCAAATTGTAATTCACATGCAAAATAGGTGTGTGGATTCACGAGAAATTAATATACGGAGATATAATAATAAATCATAATCTAAAATTTTTCCACAAAATAAACAAATTAGCTATACTGAATTTTCCATTCAATAAAAAAATGAATTTACTGATTTTCATATCTATAATATATAAAAATAAAATAAAAAATTAGTCAGCCATATGTACAATAGTATATGCATCGATTGAAGTTCATAAACAAATTAATATGCAACTTCTACATATAGTTTAGTTTACGTTATAATTCTAAGAACCTTCAAAGTTTATATATAGTATACAACATTAAACCACAAAATAATAATTTAGTCACATGTACACACTAAACAAAAGTACCGGGGGTTAAAAAAAATTCGACAAGAAATTATATTGTTTATATATGATTAAAATTATTTTTTTTAATTTTTATATATATATATATATATATATATAATAGATATTGAACTTTCATTGACCTTCATTTTGTATGCTTACTTTTTCGTATTTTAAATTTCGTTCACGAAAATCCTAATTCTTTCGCTAAAAAAAATCTTAAGCCTCACTAAATAAACGAAAATAATTCGCATTTTTTATGGCTTTCCTTAATTATATAATTCACATTCCTCTTTAAAATTCTCATTGCCATTACATTCTAACGGTGAATGTTGTAATTTTGCATTATAAATTCAAATACAAACAATAACAAAGAAATGTAAACTAACAAAATTCAAAAAAAAAAAAAAAAAAAAACTTAAAAAATGTGTTCTTCCTACATCAAATCACCCTTTATTTTATTGATCATATTATTCATAAATATTTTAAATTTAAAAAATGTTGTTGCAAGTCCATTCCATATTCAAGTTATGAATAATATTGATCCAACTAGATTTCCCTTTAATAGTATTAAACTTCATTGCGCTTCTAAAGATAATGATATGGGATTTCATGACATTACTCCAAATAACAAATTTGAATGGTCGTTTAAAGAAGGATATTTTTCTAACACATTATTTTTTTGTCATTTTTGGTGGGGATTAAAAGAAAGAGCTTTCGAAGTGTTTAATGTCTTCCATGGATGTATCAAAAATGCACCACTCAATCCCGATACTCGTTTATGTAAATGGACAATAACAGATATAGGATTTTTTCTGGAAGATGATAAAGGAAAGAAATATATTGCTTATGCTTGGGAGCCTCTTAAAAAGTAAAAATAGTTAGTTATTATTCGCTCTGATCCCTAATTTGTTTGGGATTGTGAAGCGTGTGTCTTTTTTTTTTTTTGAGTTTTAAATATTCTTATATGGTGTACATTATTGAAGGAATAAACGCATTGTTATATGTAATGCGCATAGGGAAAATCTAGATCCTGTATATATACTAAGAAATTTATTTAATATCTATAAATATTTGATAATTATAAGTGTTTTATTTTGATTTAATATGTTTCACTTTACAATTTATTCTTAAGTAGTAGATGGTACATGAAGTTTATTAAATATCATCCTTAATCATAACTAATCACAAGTGACTAATTAAGAAGGAATTAGAGAGACTATAATCTATAGTAGCAAAACCATTTTTTATTCATTTTCATTTATTCCATAACAATTTTCAAGCAAATTGTCCATTCCTTAAAGTTACTTTTCATATAATTTACTTGTTATATGCGATATACATCTCAATTAATTAAGTCAATAAATTTTACATACTAAATAAATTAAAAGGAAAAAGTTAACTATTCATATTTCATTACAATAAAAAATAATATCGTGATTGACACCTGACGAGTTATATTTCCACTCTATACCCATATTGTTCCACATGAATTTAAAATTATAATCGCGTCGCTTCTATGTCATCCCTAATTAAGTTGCTATATTATGCTACAATAACGTTGGAAGAAAAACGAAGAAATTAATATAATACTAAGAATAATTAAAGTGAGAATTAAGATGGGTTAAGTTCAATAATTGGGCTATAAACTATTCTCTGATCTGTAATGGACCTCTTTATAGATAATAAAGAAAAAACAAAATAAGACTAACTCTCCGTAAAGGTGTCTAAATTGGTGCAACAAGTGGTAAGGGAGGTCGATGATCGATCATGATTCACATATTAATATATTTTTTAATCGAGCTCATCATACCAGGCTTATCTAATACGTTTACATTTATGTGAAATCTTTCAAGGAGACTCATAAATAAACAATAGGAGATGAACTAAAAAAACAACTCAAATAACCAAAAAAATGTATACCTCATGAATTATCGACTGATTATAATCGTAACGAAAAATAATTAGCATTTTTATGGCCTTTACTTATATAATTCACATTTCATCATAAAAATTCTCATTACCATTACATTGTAACTGAATGCTATAATTTTGCATTATATATTCAAGTACTATTGATAATAACAAAGAAATTTAAACTAACAATTTCCTTAGAAAAAAAAAAACCCTACAAAATGAGTTCTTCATACATCAAATCACCTTTTCTTTTATTGATCATATTGTTTATAAATATTTTACATTTAAAAAGTGTTAATTCATTCCAAGTTCAAGTTGTGAATAACATTGATCCTACTAAATTTCCCTTTAATAGTATTAAAATTCATTGTGCTTCTAAAGATAATGATATGGGATTTCATGACCTTAGTCCAAATAACAAATTTGAATGGTCATTCAAAGAGAAATATTTTGCCAACACAATGTTTTTTTGTCATTTTTGGTGGGGTTTAAAAGAAAGAGCTTTTGAAGTATTCAATAACTTCCAAGGATGTATTAGAGATTCACCGCTTAGTACTCGGACTCTTTTATGTAAATGGACAGTGACAGATCAAGGGTTTTTTCTGGAAGATGCTAGCGGAAAGAAATATAATCCTTACAAATGGGAACCACTTCATTAATTTATAAAGTGGTTAGTTATTCGTTCCGATCCCTAACTTGTTTGGGACTATGATTTTATTTTTTTTTTGAGTTTTGAATAAATGCATTATTTTACTCTCCTAGAAACCATCAATATCAATCAATCAATCAATTACGCTTTAATTATAATCTAATCGGGGTTATCTATATAAGTCTTTCATATTCAACAACAACAATATATTTAATATAATCCCATAAAATTATGAGGTCTAGACCAGAGAGGCACTAGGCGGCTAGAATATATGCAAACTTTTTTCCTACTCTGTTTTCAATAAACCCTCGACTCGATAAAAAATAGTCCAAAACAAAAAGGTACGAACAGTGGAGTTGCTTTACTATGGAATATAATGGTGAAAGGTAAACATAAGAATAAATAAAAGGGAGAACTAAAGATGGATTAGGTTCAATAAATAAGCTAATCCTTGTTTAACAAAATGTAACGAACTCACTCTTAACACATTTTATAACACAAATTAATCATGTGTATACAACTTTTTATTGTTAACATAATGAATAATGACACAAAAAAATGTTAGGTTTTGTTGGAATAACTCCAACAATTGCACCATAACTCTATATCACAACAACTCCATTATTATGTCCTATTATGATTATATATCTATATAAAGTTTCAATCTTGACCATAATTTCATAATCAATCAAACAAATCATAAAGAAGAAAAAGAAAACTTTATTTTTCCCTATAACCAAAATCTCAAAATGTTATCACCATATTCCATTTTCTTTGCAATTTTCTTAGTAGCCATAACCAAATTGTCACCCCTTGTTGTTGCTATTGACACTCAAGTTCCCGAAGGATCGATACTCGAGTTATACATGCATGATATCCTGGGAGGAAATAATCCAACAGCTCGACCAATTACCGGATTATTAGGGAATATATATAGTGGACAAGTTCCTTTTGCAAGGCCTTTAGGTTTTCAACCACCTACAGATGGTGTAGCAATTCCTAATTCTAATGGTGCAATTCCAACATTTAATATCAATGGTGTTCCACTAGGAACTGGCTTAGCAGGCACAATATTTGCTGGAAATCAGAATGGCCAAGCTAGTGGTGTGACTACTCAATTAGGCCCTGATGGATTGGGCCTCGGGTTTGGTACGTAAAAATTTAAGTTGTTAGAGAGATACTATTATATTCTTGATTACCTTATAACTTATATTATATCTTTGATATGTTTTCTCACGTATTGTTCTGATTCTTTTTTATTGGTTAGTTTTTTCTTTTTTTCGGTGATGATGAGATTCGAACATAGGAACCACTTGCTTGATTACATTTATATCATGTCTCAACATGATCTTCACACGTGTAGGTCTGCTTCTTTTTCATTGCCCTTTTTCCTTGCGGTATTAAAACCTAGGATCAGTACATCAAAAATAAGCTTTAGCAACAATTAATAAACAATTGTCGCTAAATATATATTTTTTTCGGCAATCAGCCATATATATCCCTGAAGATTTTAGCGACGTTATATCTAATGACATTTAACTAATGACGGTAAAAACTTTAACACTCTTTATTAATGTGTCTATTTATTGCCGCTAAAAATTATTTTTTGTGCTACATAGTGTGTTCTTTACCATGTCTCAATGACGTGTCAACATGATTATTTATTATTGGCCAAACACATTGAATAGTCTGACCATCTCATCTATTTTGACTATACATCAAACATGAGCGCCTGATTCTTTTTCATTAGTCAACCAGGTGGAAGTATCTCTTACTTTTAAAGGTGGAAGTGCAATTTGAATCCAATAACACTTACGTTTTATATTATGTCACGACAGGTACCATCACAGTTATCGATGACTACTTGACATTGTCCCCTGAGTTAGGCACACAAAACCTTGGAAAAGCACAAGGTGTATATGTATCAAGTTCTGCAGATGGAAGTACTCAAATGATGGCGTTTACCGCCATGATGGAAGGAGGCGAATATGGCGATAGCCTCAATTTTTTCGGAGTTTATAGAATTGGAAGCACAATGTCAAGAATATCAGTTACAGGAGGAACTGGTAAATTTAAAAATGCTTGTGGTTTCGCGGAGATTCGTTCACTTATACCAACAGGGCAACATGTTATTGATGGTGCTGAGACATTGTTAAGGATTACTGTTCATCTTACTGAGGGACGACCACGATGAGTACGCGTTTTTATATAGGATCAAACGGCTTTTGTTCGATCGAGGGGCTTAAACAAGAATGGTGGATTGTTATAAATTGTGTGAAAAATGAATTTGATTTGTGTTTTATTTTTTCTTATAATGTTTTAATTTTGAATTGAGTACAAACATATATGATATATCCTCTCAATAATTGCATGTCCACTATTTGGGAGAAGAGTTTGTGTTTGATATTTTAAAGTCAAAACTTAAAAATGTTTATAATATTTGTTTATTGGTTGAATATGCATTTGTTTTCTTTTAGTTGGAAATAATGTCAAAATATAGTCCAAATTTTAAACTTAAAAATGTTTATAATATCTGTTTATTGGTTGAATATGCATTTGTTTCTTTTAGTTGAAAATAATGTCTAAATATAATCCAAATTTTATTAAATCCAAAATCTTCAAAGTAATGCATAGAGCTAGGCAGATGTTTCTAATCCCTTTATATACCCTAATAATACATTTCTAATCTTCAAAGTAAAATGGAATATATGTACCATAAGAGAAATAATAGATTATCTTACAAGTGCGCTGTTTAATTTTATCCTCACTATTAGTAATACGAAAAAAAGTTCAAGAATAAATAAATAAATCTTAGTAACGTACTATTTTAAAATCGTGCGACGATATCATTATTTGACTGAACAATTTACCTGACACGACCCAAAAAGAATAGTTAGAATGAAATCAAACACAATAGGATATGGATAGGTACTTACATAATATATAACCTCTTAAACTTAATATTTTTATAAGATTGTAGTCTAATTTTTGAACTCTACGAAGTGTTTTTCAAGCACCTATATGTATAAAAAGCAACTTCTAACGTGCAAAATAGACTAATTACTAGCCCGTTTAAATTGATTTAAAAAAAAATACTTTCGTCAAATATTTTTATTTGTGGCTTTTTAAAAGTTGATTTAATTTATTATAAAGTTAACATAAAAACTATATATATAACACAAAGTATATGGTTCAGTCCATAATTTCTAGCTCTTTCACTTCATAATTATGGAGTCTTCCATTTGTTTTGTTTTTTAATCTTTTAGCTCTATTCTTGATTTATTCATTTTAGGCATAATGGAGACATGTCAAGACACTTCTGTCAAGTGTAAATGTAAATGTCTATTTTTAGAAAAATATGTCAAGTCTAAAAAATTATAATGGCATTTAGCAATAAAATATTTTGAAAAAACTATTTATTAGATATATATCTATATTATATAAATCTATTATATTTATAATTTTAAATAATTACATATCTTACCACTAATTAAAAGTTTTTTAATATATATTGAAGAAGATACAGACATTTTCGCAACCAGGTACACTAAAATAGGGAGAGAAATGAGTGAGAAAGTTATGAATATCAAATACATGCAATCACACTAAATATACACTAGATACATGCATATGTATGTTTCTAATATGGTTCGCATGTATTTGGAATACCAAATACAGAGGAGAGTAGTGAGTAAGATCGAACAGAGACAAGTGAGGCGAGAGAGATTTGTTATTTATCTCAAATGCATATAAATTCACTAATTAAATACAATATATCTAAAATAAATTACACACTCTATGTATTCCGAGATACATGTATCTGAACGTAGTAGAATGCACCAAAATGTGATAAAATTCACAACATTACAAATTAAAATGTATTCTAAATAATTAAGTACTAAACTAGTTAAATTTCGATAAATTTTCGATCCCATTATTTCTTTTTCTTTTTTTTGCCCAATATTACTTGCCCAAAAAGATTATTACTTAGAATAGAAGCAATCAATAAGACAAGGATAGGAGGCAATTATAAAAATCATCTTCTTGTCTGAAAGTATATGTTAGAACTTAGAATAAAACCAATTATAATAGGACAACTACAAGATATTAAATAACTATCGTATTTAGATGTTGAAATTTCGACTACTCTATTTTAATATATTAAATGGTATTTTTAGGTGATTTATTTAGCAAAGAGGATTGTTCGTACTTAATTTTAAATATTTCTATTAGTGTAAGATATTAGTATAATATAATTGAGACATTTGTTGGAAAGTCAAAGTCATAATTTTTATCATACAAATATATATAACTGGAAGCTGATCGATCTATGATCATCGCTTTATCATTCGGTAAAATATTAAAATCGAATTTTTATATATCTAACACAAAATTAATTTAATATAATAACGATATAATATTTTAAAAATCGTAAACTAAAATTATCAAACCTAATTTTTCAACAGCGTGTCAAGTACAGTACCCTATGATTGATAATAGATAGGAGTTGTTAAATAATGCATGAAAATAAATTGGAGAAGAAGAAATACGTGGGTTCCCTAGGGCATAGCCTATTAAGATCGAAGAACGATTAAATATTGAATCTCTTTCGTAAAAAAAAAAATTATAATATTTATAAAGAGATTTTATTCGTTATATATATATATATATATATATATATATGATACAATGCATAAGTATTCTTTCAACATATGTCTGAAATTTCAGATACACACTTATACTATATTAAGGTCCTATTATCTTCCCTGAAGTTATTTTATTAAAAAATTTTACCCCTTTTCAGCCTACGTGACACTATCTTGTGGATCTAACAACGCAAAACTATATATTTTATACTAAAAGTACATATATTAGACATATAATATAAACTAATAGTATATATATTGTGTATACTTTTGTTATATTAAAAAACTAGATAGGCAGTTAATATAATATTGATAACCATTCAAAATTTACATGTTCACATGTTATTTATAGACCAGTAGAATTTCTTCATCACAAAGATATATATTTTATGAGAAAAATATTTTATTTAAAAAAAAGGACCCTTCTACAACATTAGAAGGTAATTTGGCCAAACAATCTACAACTTGATTAGTCTTATTGAAATAATGTGAGGTTGAATTAAATATCACTAGTATTATTGGTGTCTAATAAATAGATATATGCTTTATGAATTATAAATTTTTTAAAAATAATAATTTTATATTGAGTTCTAAATAAATTATGATACAATATGAGTAGTCAACTTTTATGGTCTTTGACTAAACCTATCGAAAGAAATACAAATACATATCCTTTTTTAAAAAAATAATAACTAAATTTCGAAATTTATGATCTTTCTGGATTATATAATTCTTAATTATCATATGATTTATTGTTATTTGAAAATTATGTTATTTAATTGGTATAACAACTAATTGATGATTTTTAATATTACATGTGTATCTTGTTTTGAATTAAAATTTTAATAATTCAGTTAATTATTATTTTAGCGTAATTTCATTTTATTAGCAAGGATTCAATTCTCTACCTTTTAATTTCCTTTTTCTTATCACTAATTTTTTTTTTCAAATGCTCAATAATGGGGTAGAAAATATTTCCAATCTATGATTTCTAGCTAGTTGTAGCATCTAAAAATTTAATACTCCTTAAATAGCTGATTTCGAGATTTCAAATTTACTCTACTTCATATTATTTGTCCATATAATTGTCCTAAATTACTAGTCAGTTTATAAAATTAAAATAATATCAATTTATTTATTTTCATTTTTCCCTTGATTTTTTTTGTTTAAACGTATAAATATCATAAAGTTTCTCATTGTTAATCCTTTAAGAGTAAATAAACTAAAATACCCTTCTTTCCTTTTCATATATTTTTTTAAACGACACGTAAAATGGAAAATGAACCACTAATATATAACCTTCGATTAGTAACTAATTCATTTGCTTGTAAAATCCTCTTCAAATAAATACTAGAACAATTTCTTAGTAAAAAAGCAAATATCTTTTGTTTTATCGAAAAAAAGTGGTTTTCGAAAAAGTTTATTTTAAAGGGTATTTTCGACCTTTAGGAGTCGCCACTTAATTTTTAAGAAAAATCAAGAAAATTTATTCTCAAAACAATTTAAACAGAAAAAAATCGTTTTGAAAATATTTTAGGGGGTTCGGGATTCCTATTAGTATCTTAGGAAGGTGTTTAAGGCACCTAAGATACTCCGTTAATACGGTTTTCCGACGACTAACTTATTTGACTATTTTGTTTTTTCGTTATTCTTAAGATTTTCCATCTAGGCAAACTTTATAAGTTTTGAAATGACTTCGCAAATTTCATTTTTTAAGGTTAAGACACTTTATATTCGAACAAACTTGTAGAAAATTTTTTT